TTTGACGATCGGCCTAGTAGTTTCGCCTTTCGGAGTTAGGAGGGGCTATTAAGACCCCCCCTCGTAGGGCACGTTATACGCAGACCCCAGTGGGGCGCGGGTTAAAGGTAGTGTGCCACCTTTGAAAGATTTCCCATTTTATTTTTCCTAGGATAAGAAGCTTCTGTTTTTACCTAATTTCGCAAAAAAAAAATCAAAAATGGGCCTGGAATAGTGCCTTTTTCGCCTAAAAGTTTTTCGGTTTTTAGATATGTATAACAACTGTAGTGGGCTCACCTGCAAACAGGCGTCGGGCAACAATCGCGAATGCGGCGCACTTGTGACAATAAGCAAAGGTCATTATAGTGTTACGACCGCATATTTACGTCTGGACAACGAGTTGCGGGGAAAAGTGCTGATTGTGTTGCAGTTTTAGGAGCCGGTGATTAGGCTGGATTTTTGGGTTACTTTTTCGTTCCGATTCATGTATTTCATAGGGTTTTGCTTTTGAATATTTTAGTTCTTTCAGATAAATATTACTTGCCTTACAACTTTTGTAAAAATGTTTCATTTTTTATAAGCCGACGTTCAGAGTCCTAAAAATACATCAGCACTACAATCAATGTACAATCAATGTAAACAAGCAAATTGAGCACCACTTGGCTCTGTTCCAAGGCCATTTTTTAGTTTATCTGGTGGTTTTCTTGCTCTTGTACGTCGTTTTGTTGGATGTTTTGAATCCCTTAAAGGAAATAGTTCACATTTTAACATGGGTTTTGAACTGGAATAGCAGTTCCGTAGCTTGGGCTGAGACGAGCATAAATCAGGAGCTTTTACAGCCCAACGATCACCCTAGGCAAAGATATTCTATTTCTCGTCCCGAAAATTGTGTCTTGCGTTGAGGATGTGTGCCTTGCATATATTCGCATCCAGTATGAAACGAGCATGGGTCCCGAAAATTTTTTCAGAAACTAGAGAAATTATCTACGAGAACTCTAGAGAAATTCTCGTACTGATCAATAAGGACATTCAGCAGCAGCAGATCGCCCAAATGCCGGTGGCCGCGATAATTTCTCTAGTTTCTGAAGAATTTTCGGAACCCATGCTCTTTTCATACTGGATCGCCTGTGCCTTACAGAAACTGAAAAGTTCTTCTTATATCAAAATATAGAAAATAATCTTTTGTTATAAATAGGTTTTATTTTCTTTGCTGATCATTTTGAACATAAAAAATCATAAATCCATTGCAAAAAAAAATAATTTCGTGAAAGTGAACTATTTCCTTTAAGATTGACTTATATCATATTTAAGAAGCATGTTGACTGAAAACAATCTGAAGTATCCAGGAGGCTGACAGAGGTCCTGACTACTGAGCAATATCAATATCAAGTTGAAAAAGTTATGAAATTTTGGTTGATAAACGCAAGTTGATCGGGCTCATATATCAGCAAGAAAAAGTAAAATTAAAAGAGCTTATTGTACAAAAACAAGCTATAATATTGCAGACCTTGGAGCAATACTGAAGAGCGCACTGAGCAGGATCATGCCAGAAAATGTTGACTGATGAGCGCATATTGATGTATTGGTATGAATATTGAATGATAACTTACAACAGCAAGATAAATCATGCTAACTATCAAGTTAAAATCTAGAATGAATGGACTTGGGCAGTTTTACTATGCTTAGATCAAGATGCTATGCAGATTGTAATGTGCATCAGGTACTCAGTGTCTGGCAAATGAAACATGCGATCATTCCATTGCTACTGGAGGAGAAAGCTTGGATCACTAAATCCACGTTATGTTGATTTTGATGTTAATCATCATCACTGTATTTCTTGAAAAAAGGATTGTAGTAAAATTGTCAATGTGACAATCCATGCAACAATGTGATTGATCATATTATGTGTTCATAGTCATTCGTGATAGTCATTATTGGTCCAATATACAATGGCAAAGCTCTCAGTCTCAGCGTGTCTTCCTGTGGATGGCCAGCAGTGACTCAAAGCTTAAAAGTATTAGTTTTCTTCACAGGGCTGGGATAAAAAGTACTGAGGGTAATCTTCCACCAAGGAGCTCTACTTTGACATGGTATGAGATGTAGGCACAAGTAGGTAGGTGCTCAGTTCCTATAGTCAGTAGTTGTGTATGTTTAGTCGGGTTACCTTAGATCAGATTGTTAGTTTTTTAATTTGCCAAATGTCCATAAAAATGTGACCTGAGTAATGAGCATACCTGAACCTGACTAACCTGACAGGCTGACAGCTGGCCTAACCTCAATCATCACACATATTTGCAGCCTACCCAAAACCTGCATGGCAGTAGCACCCAGTTATGGGTATAGGTACTCACCCTAACTCAATCGTACCTGCTAACCTCCAACTTGCTAAAAGTTAGCTCACATTGCCAAGCTGTGTCCAGGGAAACAGTCAACTGAGGAACTGGCTCATTGGGTGGCTGGTGTGAGACTGTGCATTTAAAGTGTTTCTTCTCTGAAGCTGCTCTGGACTGCTGTATGTCATGTTAGATGCTCAGAAAATGTGGGAAATTATTACTAAGCTACTTTAGTGCTTTGTTAATGCTCGAGACATGAACAAGTACAGATCCTGCAGGGTACAGCTATGAGTTAGGTGCTAACTGCTAGGTGAGTATGTTATGTGAGTGTGCTGTTCCCTGTTTGACCGTAAGTATACAAACAAGCACAGGGTCACAGTTGTATTCAATCTCCACATAAACATACAACAAAAACGGCCATATAGCCTAACTCCGAACACACCACAGATAACTCAAGCCTTTGAAGGCACAAAAATGTTTTGATTAACAGGACAGGTTTACAATATATCCTCTGTCCTTGGGGGATCTTGCTACCAAGTTGAGGTATGATGACTGAACTTCAGGATTGATCAACCTTTTCTTAGCCACTGCTTATATACGAGAAAGACCAAATGCTTGTTTGTTTTGATTTACAGGACATGTATACAATATATCCTCTGTCCTTGGGGGATCTTGCTGCCAAGTTGAGGTACGATGACTGAACTTCAGGATTGATCAACCTTTTCTTAGCCACTGCTTAAACGAGAAAGACCAAATGCTTGTTTGTAAACTGCGTTGAAAATTTAATGATCCACCTTCAATTCTGACATGAAGGCACAAATGAAATAGTTCCCTCTCCTTTTGGAATACACAAAGCAAAATATTTAATAAATTTTAGTGGATGGACAAGAGCAATTAGTATATAGCTTTCCCTCAAGTTAACTTCTGGCACTGTTGATGAATTCACTGACGCTTATTCGCTTCATATTTTGTAACAAACGCGCTAAAACTGCAATATAACAGCACTATATACTTCTTGACAAAATGCAATAGTATTAAAAATTCAGCCCTGATGGCATTCATTCTTGGTGGAAACGTAATTACAAAATATTTTGTAGTAAGTATTAAATTCCGGCCGAAAACAGTTCACGATTTAAAAAAGAATCATTCTTGCGGTCCTGAAATCGCCACTATTTCCGGCCTCTCTAACGCAACTCGTTGTCCAGACGTAAATATGCGTTACGACCATACGACGTACGGGAATGAGTTATCAGCTGTCTAATCGTAGACAACACAATGTCGAGCCTTAAACTGTAAGCCCGTATTGGTATTGTTTCTTTTATTTGGCTGTCGAACATTATTTATGGTTTGAAATATGATTTTATGTAAAATAATTGATATGAAAAAGCCGTCTTATAAGTTATGACCCCATTTCACCACACGCAAGTGGCAGAAATGACAATGATCAGCTGACGCATTTTTCTTGGCCGAAGTCAGAGCGCGCGGCCCGACGCACCACGCGTATTTGGAAATTCCGACCTCGACGAGCATCAGAAGCCACCTAACAGGCGTGTTCGAAACCGCAGGAGATGATGATGAACGGGTTTATCGAAACTTGATTGGATGACCATATCGGTAATAGCGATTTCAGTGTGTGCATTTATTGTTCATAGTGGTGTGAAATGTGGTTGGGGTACGACCGACAACCCGTCGGGGCGAATTTCGCACTGGGGTACTCAAAATTTGAAGAATTTAAGACGTTTCCATGAGTTTTGAAGGTATGGATAAGTTCTAAAAATCCGGTTCTCCTTATCTGGGCCATTAACTCCATACGGTCCAAGAAAGCTGGCACACTACCTTTAATTTACGTCCGACTTCCTGGCGCGGCAGCTGGCCACCAAATGTTGCCTATTGCACAAACCACGAAGGCCGCACGGACAGCTGAATCACGCCTGCCGTCATGGATAGTTAGGGTACCTGCTTGACCTTTGCCCCTAACGACCATCTCGTTCCCGGTCCGAGTGTTGACAGCGATTGCTGGAGCATCGTCTAAGCCACCCGCCCATGCACGGCAGTGAATCAGCGCATGAGCGGAACAAGGTACCAGACGGCAAAATAACGAGACTGAACATTGCCAAATATGACAATATCCCACAACATGCTCCAGACGGGTACGGCAAGTCCGTGCTTAGCGGAAATAAGAACATTTTGGTTTGATTAAAACTTCGTACGTTATGACCCTCGCAGATCGTTAATGGTGTGTGGTCAATGACAGGCAGGCATGTAATTTCCTTTTGCTAATGAAATGATAAATCCCATTCAGCGTACCTGCAGTTATAACAATGTGTCATAATCAAAATACAATGGCGTCCCGTGTGCCACTGAGCTACTCGTGCTTATCTTTTGAGGAAATCCAGCAGGGTTCTGCTACACGAGTCACCGGCTGGTTTCTGATATCGCGATCTGATGCACGGCATTGGGCTCCATTTTCGGCGTGCTCGGCAGTGCGGCGTGTGGCGCCGACCTACCCCACCGCCACCGTACGGCCGTGCACGAACCGGCTGCAGACCGGACGGATTTCGGCACGATACCGGCCGCCGGTGCGCGACCGCTCAATGGACCAGCGGCGCCGTGTCGCGCGCAGGGGACAGGCGGCGTCTGCCGACACCTCTGTGGGGCCGGCTGGCCGCGCGGTGGGAACTCGCCGCCGCCGCCGCGGCCGCCACGCCGCGCCGGGCCGCGTCACGGCCGCGGTCGAGGTCTCGGCCAATGTCAGGCTACATAAGCGGGCGGCGCCGGGCCGGCCGGCTCAGTGTTCTCGGTCGCGCCGCGCACCGGAGGCAGGCAGAGAGAGTCACGGCCGCCTGCGCCGTCTCAAGCCGAAGACCCGCCCGGCTAGGTCGCGCGCCGCCCGCCCCCGCGCCGCCCACCGCACACATGGAGACGGCTGTGGAGCAGGCGCCGGCACCGGCGCTGGCCGACCGGCGCGCGTCCGCCGTCAGCACCGCCTCCACGGACAGCGAGGACTGCGCGCCGCTCTCGCGCGCGCCGGCGCACCGCGTCGGCGCGGTGAGCTCCGACAAGCAGCTGCTGGCCGTGGAGGAGGGTGCTCTCTCACTCGGTGACTCCTCGCTTTCCGACTGTCGCGACAGCGGTGTCGAAGCCGACAGCTTCGTCGAACCTGACGAGGCGACAGCTCTACAGCTGGTCGAGGCGGTCGAGTTCTATTTTGACGACGAAAACCTGCTCAAGGATGCCTTCCTGCTCAAGCACGTTAAGCGCAACAAGGAGGGATTCGTCAGCCTCAAGCTGATGTCGAGCTTCAAGCGGGTGAAGCACATCAGCCGCGACTGGCGCGTGGTGGCGTTCGCGATGCGCCGCAGCACCAAGCTGGAGGTGAACGACACGGCCACCAAGGTGCGCCGCCTGGCACCGCTGCCAGAGCACGACGAGACCATCACCAGCCGCACCATCGTGGCCGTCAACCTGCCGCTGGAGAACCCGACCATCGCCACCGTCTCGGAGCTGTTCGGCGCCTGCGGAGACATCAGCAGCATCCGCGTGCTGAAGCCCGGCACCAACATCCCCGTGGACGTGCGCGCCGCGTTCAACAAGCACCCGGACATCGCCTGGGAGAACGTCAACTGCGCCGTGGTCGAGTTCGACCTGCAAGAGCAGGCGCGCAAGGCCAAGGAGACCATGTCGGTGGCCGACGACGCCGACACCAGCGGCATGCACATCATCCCCATCGGCAAGGTGAGCAACAAGAAGAAGTCGCGCCAGGAGGAGCCTCGCGTTGTGATCGTCCAGGAGGAGGCTGCCAGCGCGCAGGCTGCCGAAAAGAAGCGCCGTCAGAAGCGCAAGAAGATGTCGCTGGTGCACATGGAGAGCAGCAGCTCGATGTCGGGTACCGACGGCGAGTTCGGATGGAGCACGCCGACGCGGCGTCTGAGCGCCGCCGGCCCGGCGCCGCAGGTGCAGCGTCCGCCGCTGCTGCCGCTGCCGCCCGGCCTGCGCGCCCACCGCCTCTCGCCGCCCTCCCGACCCGGCGGCCTGTTCGCCTGCACCGACATCAGGCTCATGGAGCACGCCCACTCGCTGGCCGTGCGCGGAAAGGCCAACTCGTCGCCCAACGTGCTGCCGCCGCCGCAGAGCCTCGCCGCCCGCCAGAAGAAGTCAAACTCGTTCTGCGGCGTGGTGCCGGCCGGCCACGAGCAGTGCCCGTGGGTGGCGCGCCGCAAGGCGTCCGGCCTCTCGGATGCCGACCGTCGCGGCTCGCTGATGACCCAGGAGAACGTGATGCGCGCGCCGCGCGGCCCGGACGGGTCGCGAGGCTTCGTTCGCCGTCCCAGCCGCTCGGCCGCCGTCGAGATCAAGGCGCCGCCGCCGGCGGAGGTCGCCCCCGCCCCCGCCCGCCGCCGCTCGGCCGCCATCGAGATCAAGGCTCCGCCGCCGGCAGACTCGGCTCCCAAGGCTTCGACCGCGGCCCCGGCCCCGGCCCCGGCTCCGGCTCCGGCTCCGTCTCCGGCTACGGCTACGGCTCCAGCTGCTGTGACGACGACGCTGTCTCCGACCGCGCCTCCGTTCGTCCCGGCAGCTCTGGCTGCCGCCGCGGCCCCAGTACCTGCTGCTGTCGTCATCAAGCCGCCGCCTACTCCTGTCGTCATCAAGGCACCTCCTGCCGACCCTAAGCCGGCTCCCACTGACTCTAAGCCGGCCGCTGCTGAGGCCAAGTCCGTCACTGCTGAGACCAAGCCGGCCGCTGCCGAAGCCAAGCAGGCTCCTGCGACGTCCGCCTCGGCCTCTGCTGCCGCGTCCAACACGGCCAACACCATATCGGCCGCCGTGCTGGCTGCCGCTGCCGCCGCCGCAGCCAAGAACGCCCCCACGCCCGCCACCACCGCCCCCGCCCCTGCTGCTTCTCCCGCTGCCCCTCCCTGTGAGCAGGCCTAGACATCGACCGCCCAGCCGGCGCTGCGATGGAGGCCGCGACCTGTGATAGATTCGTCTCTTAGCTGTCCTGCTTCCTTCACGGGCGACGCGATGGCATCGTGTCGGGCCGCCAACGTCCCGATTGCTGTGGGACACTTTCATTCCACTCCCCGCCATTCCACTTTCGGGGGGATATTTATATATTTATTTGAAACAGTGAGAGAATGCATGCGAAACGTGTGAATGACGCAACTGAAATGGATGAAACCGCATGAGCCGTGCACGGCTACTGTAAATTATTATATTTTATTTGTCGGTGCGAGGTTTAAGTTATTGAAGATGACTTAAGCTGCATTGCAGCTAGCATTGTGTCAGAAAATACACAGATCTGAACAGATGCACAGGTGTTTGCCTTCGGACGTACGAGAGCATGAGTGGCCACTCTTCCTTTACATCTCCTGAGCCCCTTAACGGGTCACGATCAGCTCATCACCGGCGGCATCACGACTGTCTTGTCACGCCGAGGGTGCGGCGCGGCCGGTGGCGCGTCCGCGCGCCGCCGGGCCCTCCTTCATCTGTGTGAAGGACAGCGCCGGCGGCCCAAGGTCGGCGCGGAGGCCAGTCCGGCGTGTGCCGCCGCGGGGACGGAAGTCCCATTACGCCGCTCAGGGGTCACGGTACAACAGCCGGGTGGGTAGGCACTGCTGGCGTGACAGACAGCCCAACTGGCCACCGCTCAGCCTTGATCTTGATTCCACGCCTGGCTGGGCGCGGGAATGACCCACCGATTATTGGCCATTTATATTTAGACACTTACGAAGAGACAACGATTTGATGGGTTTGCTCCCCTAATCGGTGTCTGATTGTTATTCGCTTATTTGAGTCACAGCTGCTCTAGAGAGTTTCGGCTCATACGGTACCATGCTGCGTGCAACTGCCTAGCACCTAACAGCTCAACACCTGCTCACTACCGCTGGCAAGTACACAGTTAAGCACGGGTTGGAGCACGAGTCGCTCAGGCAGAGCCCAGCCTCCGTGGACCCGGCGCAGCTGCGGCCATCCCGCCGCCGCCGCCGCCGCCGCACTTCCCGCATGTGGAGCAAGGTCAGCCGATAAAAAGAGAAAGCGCAGGGCGAATAACCCCGCCATGGCTAACGGCGCCCCGCGGCACTCGTCGGCCGTCGCCGCCGACCCGGCGTCAAGGAGGCTCGCTCGGCCGCGCGAGAGCCGAGAGAGCGACGGAAGTGCAAAAACTGCCGGCCGCGGCGGGCGCGCGCTCTCCCTTACACCGAGCCGGCGTCCTGACCTTGTGCCGGTGACGTCACAGCTCTGTCCAGCATCCAGGTCCCGTGACGTCACAGCCATCCAGCATCCAGGTCGGGCCCCACGCGGGGAGATCCGCGGTACGTAACATACATACAGATACATACCGCTGAAGGGTTACCGCCGGCCGCCGCCAGGACAGATATGGTAAACTTCCACTCGGTGGGAGGAAGAAATGCATATTCTATGTCCAAGGACCATATGCTGCATTTTAATCAAAGCCCAGCCAAGGAATTATGAGAGCAGACAAGTCTGCGTCTCCATCTGGCAGCAAGCGCCACGCCCGAGAAACTTAGTGACGACCTAGGTCCTAGGCATTTATGTCAGGCGGCCTCAGCATAAGAGGTCTGTGTAACAGCTTTGCCTCCCTGTCACCATGGCTTGCACGGGCTACTTCAATTATGTATTCTCTAATGCCTGTGACCGGGATAAAATGCAGCGCTCCAGCTCCTATGCATTTACTCGTACGCACGATGCTGTACCATGGTGCGTTACATATAGGCTGTACCGCAATGCACAATAACGGTACGGTGGAGACTGCAAACTCAACTATCGAATCGCATCCAATTTGTCAAAACTCTTTAATCTACTTGTTACCACCGAATATGGCATTGCACTAGGCACAATTAGGCAACAATTTGTTTTAACTATATACCCGTTCAGTCGTGTGACTCTGTGGATGCATTGAAAGACTGCACCGTAAGACATTCGGGCGCTGCGGCACAGTATCCACCATCATCAAGACTGCATCTAGTGTAGGTGTAATCCGGCCACCACTGAGCGTTCAGCAACGGTCACAAAACCTATACCTATACGAGTAAGCAGGGGTGTAATTTTCCTAAAATGATTGTGGGTGCCCAGCTGTAGGGGCGCCAGGCCGTTTTGGGGTGCAATGAATATTCTTTATGTGGGAGCCTACATAAACACCGAATTTGATAACATTGCTAGCCGAAGGGCGCTTCAAGTGACGTGTCTGACTAAGCAAATACACGCTTAAAAGTGGAAACTGACCGGAAGGGCGTAAAAAAGATGTAGAGAGGCGCTAAGAGGCCAGAAGGGCGCCGCACAGTCAGTAATGCTACGTTGGTGGGGGTGTGGGGGCGCCAGACGGTTACCTACGAGGGCGCCTTGAAATCATGAAAAGGGCGCCATTCTCGTAAAAGGGCGCCGAGTGATTGAAAACGCTATGTGGTTCAGGGGCGATGAGAGGCCAGAAGGGTGCCGAACAGTCGAGGGATGCACGGTGAACAGAGACCTAAGGACGCGAGACGGTCAGGAGGGCGCCGTTAGTGCATGCGAAGGGCGCCGTGCTATAGAAAGGACGCTTGCAGTCTTGTAAAAGACTTGTGGGTGCATTTTCATCATTGTGGGGGCGTAATTTAGGATTGTGGGTGCATATGCCCCCACAAAGAGATATAACGTTACACCCCTGCCTAGAGTTATAATAGTCAACTCCCATCGTGCTGACAGAAGGGACGGGTAGAGAACAACACAACAGAATAAGACAATAAGGCAGCGATTCAGCTATCTGGTTTATGTCACCTCGGAACATATAACACACCCTCAGGGTCAGTTTGATTATTGTGAATCTACACTCTACGGATACCAACGACGTTCGTATAAGCGACTCAATTACGACCAAGGTGAACGGTTGTGGAACGAGGGCCGTTTGAAGTGGATTCGAATTCGAACTGATACGCAAGGTCCATCTGTCAGGGTTGGCAAATTTATGCCAGCAGCCGGTTTAAACCGGTTTAATCCATGGATTAAACCGGCTGGCATAAACTAATTTAAGCCACCCCGGTTTAAACCAGTGTGCACCAACATAATAAAAGCCACTTACGTTAACTTGTCGTAACATCACTTGGGTTAAACTGCTTCTTCTCTTCACATTTTCTACACACACCTTTCAATTTTACATGCTAACTTGTAATGTTTTTTTCCTGGGGGTTGACTTTATGTGATTCATTATATTGATCTGTATCACCCTGTATCAAATGTTAATTTTGATTTGCAGTGTTTTACACAACTAGTTGTTTACATGGGTAGTTTATGGAATGAAAGGTCTTGGAGACAGCTTCAATAAAGAAACCAATTTCAATTTTATGAGAAGCTGTAGCAAACATGACCTAATGCCAAATGCATGGTGCAAGAATCAGTGAATGGTAAGGGCCTAAGAACTATCATACAGAACATTGCCTATTTACTAGTGAACTGTCCATTGCTTAAGCAGTCAGTGACACTAAACAAAGGAATTGACAGCACGGCCACCATTATAGGCTCCAAAGTACATGTAAAAAACAATAATAAGTGTGATTAGTTAGGGACACTGTTATACCAAGAAAACAACATGCACTACCTGAAAAAACACAAACCATAGGAACATTCCAGAAGATTTATAACTGATGAGTTGTTACAATTATTTCCTGTGCAATTAAATCACAGAATGGGTGATACCTAGTACCTACCATGATAAATAATTTTTTTTCTAGTGTTTCTGGCCCAGTCCCCAGACGATTGGTCAGAATACATTTTACATGTAAAATAAAGTGAGACTTTTAACTGGTATACCGAATGTTAAGATTAGAATGTGCTTATGCCTTATCCCTACTTTGATTCTTAGCTTAGTTACCTACTGACCAGATTGTCAACATAATCACATGCCAAAATGTTGACATACCAAATGACACAGGTATTGACTTCGTGCACTCTGCACATTCACCAACGAGTACACTGACCCACAAGATAAGTTATAGTAAATGTTTTGACTGAAGGTGGTTTTTATTCATTTAAGCCGGTTTAAACCGGTTTAAACCGGTTTAAACCACTGGCTGGCATAAATTCAATTTAAGCCGGCTTTTATCCAACCCTCCATCACAACCTATAAGAAACAGTCGTCTCACCGTCGCTTTTCCCGCGGTGTGGGATTTCTAAAGATCCGGCCCCCCGGCCGGTTTCGCATGTAACTATTGTAAGCATAATTGAAATGCGCTTCTGTCACATCGATGCATCAAGCCACCTCTTTAATTAAGGGCCGGGTCATTTATTTATACTATGCTACGAGTACATATAGGCAAAACATTTCCTCATTAATAACATTTCCATGAACATCATCTGAACACCGCACATCGAACTATGGTATTAGGTAAACATCGGGCCGTTAAACTAGACGTTTAATGCATACCTATGTATGTAAGGGAGAACTGTCTCAAACGCCCCTCAAAGTGACCATCCCACCCTTAACATTAGCTTGAGTTGAGATAGCTAAATTGGGGTCCCTGACTTGCACTTGTTGGTTTGGAAAAGTAAACAAAAATAAAAGTCTTATATCTTCAAAACCAGTGAATATTATTTGGTGAAATTTGGTAGATTTCATTTTTGATCTCTCTGAACCACCGGCGGACATCGCTTTAATGCCAATTCATTAACTTTTTTGATGTGGGAGGGTCCCTTTAAAACCGCCTACATCAGCGCACGTTTCTGGGATGTAGGTATGTAGTACTTTTTAAATTACAGAAATGAGCAAACTTAAGGGGACAAATGTGACAGCACAAAAGGACGGCCATATTGGTTAAACCGCATCTCGTTGGGAGAGAGCTGGGGTGAGTGGGGTGACATTTTCTTCACTCGCCTCCGCGTGTCCCTGTGCTGGTGCTGCACCCAGCCCCGAGGCGAGTACCGCCGCACCGGTGCGGCCCCGCCCCCCCCCCCCCCCCGCCCTTCCATGGCCGGTGTCACATACGAAACTACGTACTGTATCGGTGTTTTAGATGGAGAACGTCTCATCCATTCGTGTTAACTACCAAGTGGCCACTATGCTTTCATTTGCCCATTTTGTTAACGCTTTATGTCTCTTGGGGCGTTCCACGACAAATCGACAAGTGCCCTGCACCCTCATATTTTATTTTTTGCTTAAAATTGGTCTAATGGGTTGTGATGGGCGGGGAAGCCAGCTGTGGCAAGGATTTTTTTCTTCGAACAACGGTTTCCGAGATATAGCCTCGGGCACAGACTTCTCTATATATGGACTGTGCGCTGATCCGAGGAAATCAGCATTGGAGGCCCAAAAATAAGT